GAATATTCTGTAGAAAAAAAATACACATGTATATGAAGCACGTAACAATCGCCAAAAATATCAAATAATCTGACGTTAAAACTATTTTGATTTTCAGCGCATTTTCAAGTTGTGCAGAGGATTGAACTATTCTGTTTTATAAAAGCAAATACGATGACCCCTTCATATTTTAAATCAATAAAACGGAAATTTCAGTAGCAACAAATGTCATTTTAAAACAAAATACGTAGAACAGGATTTCGAAAAATAATACTTTTAAGTCAAAATTGCTTAACTTTTTAACGATATGTACATGTACGTGTATTCTTTAAGTTTGCACAAATTTTGTTCGGATATTTAACTTGCGATATCTGAGAAATTATTAAAGTTTTAGATATTTGTGTTATGTTCCACAAGCTCTAATCGCTTAAAAAAATTCACAAAATGCCATGGGATCCCACAATTACATACTTGTTACATGCACTTCAGGGGATATTTTATACTTATGAATATTTGGTTTTATTGGATATTTGTCTCATTTGCAAAACTACCACAAACACATTGTTATGATCCGATTGACTTTTGTCCGACTGATTGGTAATGGTAGATATAATAAATTGTAAAATAAAAGTTTTAAAAGCATTAGCCTTACATTTCACACGGTGACATGTGTATAGCTATAAATGCTAAAACAATTTAATATATCAGCCACAAATTAATGTTTAAATACGAATAAAAAGTAACAAAAGTAAATTGCATAGACCAATTAGAACGAAAAGGTGTTTCCTCTCTATGAAACTACGTATACGAGACAAATAAAAACTACTGTATGTAGGAAAGTTTCAATTCTTTACTTTCTACGTTATAACATGTATAATGCATACCACAAAACTACAAACATTTCTTTTAAAAATGAAATCTAAAGATCCAATTGGGAATTTATATATATAGTTTTGTAGAAAACAATAACAAAACCAGTACATAATGCAAATATTGCGTTGTTGTAGTCAGAATCAAGCACTTTAATAATTTCGAATTACATTTGATATTATTACATCACTGTCCATGAAGAATGTCTAATAATATAAGTAAAGAGAGCATTTAAAATGGCTAGTATTGACTTGAACATTTTCATGTTTGAATGAATGACAGCAATTAACAGTCTTTAATTAGCTAGGGAACGGGGTATTATAAAATGGTCCACTCAAAATTTATATCGACCAGTATTGACCAGTGTTTGTCAATAATTCTCGGTATTTATCTGTTTTATAACACCAGCCTTGTTACTACTAGTATTGACCGTTCTGTACGAACATTTCTGAAATTAAATAAATATAACTATCCCTAAAAGCAAAAAAATGGATACTAAATCTATATGTTTAATACCAATACAATTTATAAATGCATTAAATCTAAAAAGTCATCTTCGGGTATTAATCCCTTTATCACAAAGTTAATGTTTCTCGTGCATCGTTACCAAAAAATTACCATGTAGAGGGATGTCCGTCATTGAAAATCTTAGATATGCAAACCATCAATATTTTCAATTGGTATACCAATAATTAAGAAGCAATTTGGCACTAAATGCTATTTTAATCAAACCTGTGTTAATGTTCCTGTCCCATGTCAGAAATCACAGAAAACATAGAAACCACTAGTTGTAGATATAGTTTTATTGATTAGTATTCAAGCTTCCAAAATGAAATGTTATAATTAATTCTATTTTACCATAACATTTTCATCAGTTTGTATCATTCATTATATCACAACATAAATGTACCAACTAATGAATATTTCGAAATGACAGTTACCCGCTGTTTCTTGAGACAAGTCAGAATGAACAAATATGTAATAGTAAAAGTTGAATAATACGTTAATATTGATATCGAAAGACCTTCGAACAAAAAGGGATGTAATATTTAAAAAGCCCTTTTTGTGAGGAGGTCTTTCAATTTCAATATTAACTTGTCATTGAATCATACTGATATGTAGATAAATTGGCTCCCTTTGCAATACATTTATAATATCTAAATATATGCTTTCTTATAGAAAAGGATATTTTGTTGATATCTAGACTGAATGATGTACCTTGTTTACCAGAAATGTTAACAGATAATTGTTTTTTTTTTTTAATTTTAAACACGGACGTTCGTGTAATATACGAATTGTACAAGTGTTATGTCATATATGCAAAAAATGTTGATGCAGTTATCTAATATGATATCGATAAATTAACACGCAATTTACACTTGGTATATCATTTTGTTATTCTAAAAGACCAATGGTACATTGTACCACGTATTCCATATTGATTGAATTTGACACTAGTTAACTGCTTCCGCAATGAAAGCTTGAAATGGTCATCCTTAGATGCATTACGTCAATACAATTAAATACACAATTTATTTATATATTTATATATTTATATCTAAATTCTTTATCATTCGAAAGATCTGCTTTTATCAATGATCAAACAGTCACATTTATATAATACACTTCAATTTGGATTTTCAAAATTTGGTGACTATGTTGAACGCATCTATCCCATCGAACTTAAGATAAAGGATACAACAGATAAGTTAAGTTTGCCTCATATCTTGACATCTAGAAATGGACAATGAGAATCGGTTGAAAACAAAACTTTAAGACAAAATAGTTTCCTTATTGTGAAATTTCCATTATTATGTATCAAAATTCAAGCAGCGCTTGCAAACGGAGTATATATCTCCCAGTTAATAAGATATTACAGGGCTTGTATTTCCTATCATGATTTCCTTGATAGAGGGTTGCTACTCACAGGGAAGCTTTTGAACCAATAGTTCAAAATGGTGAAGTTGAAATCATCCTTCGTCAATGTTGCAGACGCCATCACGAGTTGGTTGACCGTTATGGAATATCCGTTTCACAGATTTCAACGGATATGGTTCAATTGTCGTACTACAATCCCGTCCCCTCTCCCCCGAATTTGACCTGCCGAATTAGACTTATCACCCTTGTTCTAACATGAGCAACACCACGGGTGCCACACGTAGAGCAGATTCTGCTTACCCTTCCGGAGCACCTGAGATCACCCCCAGTTTTTGGTGGGGTTCGTGTTGCTCAGTCCTTAGTTTTATATGTTGTGTTTTGTGTACTGTTGTTTTCTGTTGGTCGTTTTCTTTTTTAAACATGGCGTTGTCATTTATTTTCGTCTGATGATTTTGAATGTCCCTTTGGTATATTTTGTCCCTCTTTTGTAATACTCGACAATGTTTAATAAAACTTTATTTTTGTTTTATTTTACATATTAGTGGGTCATATCTAGTTATAAAAACTGATGGAATATTTGTGTTCCTTTAAGTTCGTATGCAGCATTTACTCAGTTCGTCTGTTGATAAATCACCACTTTGAAATTAGTTATATTGTGTAGTTATTTGTTATGGTTACCTGTGTTTCTTATCGGCCGTATGGCTATACCTTTATCCATGATTTGTTTAGACTTGGGTTGTATGTGTTTTGTACTGTTCAGTGGGAAATATTTGGAAAACCCGGGTTTAACTGGATTTTACCGGGTAATATTTGGTAATATAAAATGGTAACCATAATCTTTAAGAGTAGTCAGTGATTGATTTCAAATGCAATTATAAATAAAGAAATATGTAAAATCTAATATTTATTTAAAGTTCATTTGTTTTAGAATGTCTATACATTTTAGAAAATATTGGTTCAGCAACTCTAAGACATACAAAACGTTTTCTCCCTAATAGTTATAGATAGTCCTCCTACACATTTACTAACTTGCCGTTAATTCTGTCTAAATGGGTTAAACTTTAAATCATAGTCAATTTGGTTATATTACATATACCTAACATTTAGAATAAACAATTAACTATTGTAAGGAAAATCGACTATTCAACTATTTTGTTTATCAGAAAATTATAATACCCAGTATTGCCCAGTATTGCCCAGGATAACCCTTTCGGAGAGTATTGCCCATACCGGGAAAAACCAAGGTTTTTCCACCGGCTTATTCACGCCCTGGTATTACTTTGCCAACCCTGCCCTTCGTTGGACTAAGTGCGGGATTGACAGCTTTTCAAATGCAGTAAGAGAATATAGAGCAAAGAATGTGCTTGTTTAAAATGTATTATTCTGAATTACTATATTAGAAAATGTATCCGGATGAATGTGTTGGCGGTCTTGTGTTTAATATAATGTTATTTGACAATCTTTAGTGATTACAAGACAATTTTTATTACATCTCTTGCTTCGGTTTAATGTCATTGGATTGATGCTCATGTTTTCTTTTTTATCCAATTCTTGCTTTATTTCAACAAAGCTGGTAGGAATGGTGCCTCCTTTTTTTGGTTGACCTGTTGTTTGTACTCATATGAAGCAGAATACATACATAACCTTTTTAAATACAAAAAGAAAAAGTATCTCGCAGAGTTCTTTTTTTCGTATTTATATTGATGATGTCCTGTCACTTGAAAATCCGCATTGTAGTGAGTGCAGGTTTATCACAGAAAACATAGACACCACGATGTAAAGACATAGTTTCGATTATTGATGTATAAGTTTTTGAAAGATGTACTGTTATGTCTAAGGATGTGTTTTCCTCTCTCAAAAATATAGTTAGTTCATTGTTTTTTAAAAGGGACCTTGCTAGTGCAGTTGAATTGGACAAATTATGATAGATATCTATATAAATGAATGCTTATATAACTTACAACAAGCTATTCTTGACAAATATTCAATATTTAACCATTCATCTTTATTATTATGGAGACTGACATTTTGTTGATTCTTAAACTACAAAATGTACTTTACATGAAATACTGGTTGATAAATGATTCCTTTTTTTTTCAAACAGGAAATTAAGTGTAATAATGTGCCAATTTTACTGCAACAGATTTGCATTTCGACATTGCTTTTCGTGTAAATACTTTAAATGCTGAAATCTAATATGATATCGATAAGTTAACACGCTATTTGTGCTTGATTTATAATTTTCTAATAAACCATCCATTCATATTGGAAGCTTTGCAACCATTACTATCTAAAGCAAAATGAAGTCTCTAGTCGTTTTAATTTCGACTTTACAAATAGTTATTGTTTCCAGTTTAAATGATGCGTATTTCAGAAACTGGATGCAGTGGCAACTGACTGACAGAAAATTGAAGACGAATAGCATTTTGAATGTCTTGACTGCTATTTCCAAAAAAGTTAATTCTATTGAGTCTGATCAAGGGGATAAAAATGGTTAGCTTCTATTAATATATAGATTTTTGTATAATTATAATTATCATTATTTTTATCATTAATATTGACACTACTGTTACTTTTTGGTTTTTTTTTATTCTTTGTTTTGTTTTCTTATCTTATTTGTAATTTGTATGGAGTGTTTGCTTGGTTTTCTGTTTGATTTTTGTATTTGTGTTGGTTTTTTATGTGTTTATTATTTTGGTGAACATAATGTTTCTCATTTCACATTCATAATTATCATTACTAGTATCACAATGATTGTGTTTCTTATCAACTCATACAATGTTATTTTGAAACACGAAGATATTCCGAACTTAGAAGGGGCACAACTAAATAATTTAAACAAAAATAAACTCATTATTCTTATTTTGTTTCAGGTTATATCGGATGTTTTCTTGATGATAGCAGTCGTCAGTTACCATATAACTATAAAAACTTAGGCGAAGGGATTACCTTGGCAAAGTGTCGGGAAAACTGCAAAGGTTACAAATACGTCGGCCTACAAGTAAGTTTTGATATTTACTAAGCACATGTAGCAATACACATATACATATATAGTTATTCTCAGTATTCCAGTTCGGTATTGTCGGTGTAGCTTGCTTGCCTTGCATGGTCGTTGGTTTGATCCAGAGTCAATTTAATGACTCGAAAGTTTGTATTTGATTCTTCTCCTATTATGTGGTATTAATATTACGAGTAAAGACAGGTCGGCTCTGAGTCAGAATACTGTGTCCGGTTAAGTTTCTTCCTGTGAAATGTTACATTGTGAACTAGCACGTAAATTCACCTGAGCGTGTTAGTCTAGTACAAATAAGGGACTTTGATTAGTTAGGATATCAATGCTACTTTATTTTGTCCTCCTATGAATGTTGCATATGCCACTGGACGTTAAACAACAATTCATCCACCAACCCATCTGATAAATTATTCATATTTTTTATCTTACTTTAACAGTGTCTGTGTTTTTATTTCATTTATTGTACAAACACACCTGCATACACACATGTTGAGTTATCGTTAGTAAGTTTGTATATCCAATATGTAGTTGGTCCATCCAGGTTCTTGAATCGCGAACCTTAAAGTTTACCGACAGTTAAGTTCACGTCCTAATCCTTACATGTCTTTAAGTTAAAAAATTAGGAAATACAAAAAACAAAAAGATAGATTAGACGATTGATAGTTGGATTTATACATTATTTTCATAACGTTATAATATATAAATATTTTAAATAGTATAGAGTTCAGTGCTTTTGTGGAAATCGGCTGGAAAAGACAAGATATAAACAGAAACCGGAATCCGATTGCAACATGAGATGTCCGGGAGAACTAAGTAGGATATGTGGAAGTGCTAATAGAAATTCTGTGTATTTAGGTATGAAACAAATGTATACATAATATGAAATAATAAAATGTTGAGTATACAAATATGAGACAGTAACATAATGAGAAAAATACCCAAACTATATATAGTGGTGAATAAAGAGTCTTAATCATAACATGAATAAACAGTCCCTTATACAATTTTTTAATAACCAAAGCCTGAAAAATTGTCATTAAATCTAATATATACTTTCATAGATCTACCATAAACAAAACATTGTCCAAATAGATACTTTAGATAGCACAAAAGACAATCATTGGTAAGGTCCAAGTTGGTTGATAAAACAGGCATGCAACATTATCTTTAAAAATCCTAAGATTAACACATATTTTTCAACAGACAGACATCATAAATTGGCGTAATCGTTGGTATCTTACTAAATACAAGGGTTTGCATCATTTCAGATTTTAAGATCATTATGTTTTGACAGTAAACCTTTCAAAAATGATCTTGCAGTTTTTACCTGGGATTTGATACTTAATCCTATTTTGTCTGTTAGAAATCCATGATTTATTATGCTTACTTTGCTTTACATTTTGAACTATCATTTTGAAAACATCAGTTTTATATTTCAGTACAGCAATAGAGAAGCAAGAACGCAAAAGATCAGAAAAAAACCGACCGTTCCAATATTCAATTAAAATCGTCGAAACTTATACACTATTTATCTTTATTTATTGAACTATGAAGTTACACTCCTGTTACTGTTATGTTTATGGAAACATTCATTCTAATAAATACAATGGCTTTTAATCCTTTATTTGATATCAGCCGTCGTTGATCACTGAAAATTTTTAAAGCCGAAGAAAAATGTAAAATTAATGTATCAGTTCTTATTTGACTACAAAAAAAATTGTTACATTGTAGCTGTACGTATCATTCAGGCAGTATTGAACATTTGAGTGTTTTCTGAATTATTCTATTAGAAAGAGTTTTCGGATAAATGTCTTGGCGGTCTTGTGTTTAATATAGTGTTAATTGAAAATTTACTGATTAAAAGAAAATTTGAAATCCATCTCTTGATTCGGTTATGTAACATTAATTTCATTGGGTTGATGATAATGCTTTCTTTTTTATCTAATATTTGCTATTTCGTTTCCTTAAAGTTCAACACAGCTTGTACTAATGGTGCCTCCTTTCTTGGTTGACCTGTTTATGTACATAAATGAAGCAGAATACATACAGAACCTTCTCAAAAACAAAAGAAAAAAGTATCTAGTAGAGTTTAATTTCACTTTCATATATTTTGATGATATCCTGTCATTTGATAACCCGCATTACAGAGAGTGCTCGCATCTCTAATATGTATGTGATATGTCACTACAAACCATTAAAAGTCTGAAATGGGCAGTATTTGTACTATAATGTACTGATTTTTACTCGATCATTATGAATTGGTCTGAATTTTATTCGATAGTACTGGACTCTAGTGTAAAAAAAGTATAACAAAATTACCGAACTGTAAGTCAAATTCAATAATCCCATCGAACTTGAAATAAAGGACACAACAGATACAATTAAGTTTGCCTCATATCTTGAGTTACATCTAGAAATTGACAAGGAGGTTTGGTTGGAACAAAACTTTACGACAAAAGAGATGATTTCAGCTTCCCAATTGTGAACTTTACATTTCTATGTAGCAACATTCCAGCAGCGCCTGCATACGGAGTATATATATCATAGTTGATACGATATTCCAGGGGTTGTATTTCCTATCATGATTTCCGTAATAGAGGATTGCTGCTCACAAGGAAGCTATTAAACCAAGAGTTCCAAGTGGTGAAGTTGAAATCATCCCTTTGTAAGTTTTACGGACCCGTCACGAGTTGGTTTACCGTTATGGAATATCCGTTCCACATATGATAGCGGATATGTTCCTAATGTCGTAGCTATAATCCGGTCCCCTTTTCCCGAATGTGATCTTCGAATAAGACTTATTACCGGGTGTGAACACGATGGGTGCTACTTGTGGAGCAGGATCTGCTTACCCTTCCGGAGAACCTGAGATCACCCCCAGTTTTTTTGTGGGGTTCGTGTTACTCAGTCTGTAGTTTTCTATGTTGTGTTTTGTGTGCTTTTGTTTGTCTGTTTGTCTTTTTCTATTTTAGCCATGAAGTTGTCAGTTTATTTTCGACTTATGAGTTTGAATGTCACTCTGGTATCTTTCGCCTCTCTTTTTTAAAAATGGGAAAGTCCATAAAAATTAACAAATGCGAACGATATCAATCAAACGGAACAAATGAAAAACTACCATATTCTGACTTGGTACAGACATTTTTCGAAGAAAATAGTGGGTGAAACATAGTTTTATAGCAAGCTTAACAACAGACTTATATGACAGTTGTTTATATTTCCGTTATATTGACAAAACGCATTTATTAGACGGTTTAGTCATATGAGGCATCCTTTACGGTGTTTTGTTTAAATATTCTCTTCATTAAAGTGTTTCATTTTGCTTTTCGACAGTTTTGATTTAAGCTGCAATAATAAATCTTGATGAACAAAGACGTCATTTGACCATAGTCTGAACTATAGTCGACCATACTTTGTTTTACCCCGAGGGTAACCAACGCAATAGTCAGTAGTTTTGTGTTGACAGTACTAATCATAGATACGGTGATTTCTGAAAATTGAAAGTTATAAAATGCTGATGTACAATACTTAGGTTTTCTAACCTAATGCATAGATGGTATAGTCATATTTGGCACATACTTTTGGATTTTTTTGTTTTAAATATTCTCGTTAACAATGTGGTTCATTTGGCTTTCCGACCGTTTTGATATGAGCGGCAATTATAAATCTAGATGAACACAAGACGCGCGTTCAGCCACCAAATTATTAGCCTGGTATCTTTATTGATTTTTTAACCACCACTGGGTCGATGCAACTGTTGGTGGACGTATTTTTACATTGTTACAAGAGTTGTAGTCAACTTTATTGTCTCGACATAAAATATCATATTGCAGCCGTCATGTTATAATTTACTGTTCATGAAATGTCGAGTTATTGGAAACTCTTATATGTCTAAGATGGCCTTAGTCATGCTTTTAAACTTCGTGCTTTTTTACTTTTTTTTTTTTTTTTTTGCTTCACAACTCTACATATCACTGTTATGAACACTCATCTGACGTTTAAAGTTATAAGCCTGGTAATGTTAATGAGTTTTGTGAACAATTGTGTCGATGCACCTTTTTTCTCTAGTATATTACCATCCAGTAGTCATGATTCTTGTTTAGATATGAAATGTTTTTGATACGATCATTCCTGTAGTGTTCATTTAATGTTGAAATATTTGACGTCTTGTATCCCAATGCTTAAGGAACCATTTGCTTCGAAAATAATCAATGTTAGACGACTAAAACGTTGTCTGATTCTACAATCTGGTTGAAAGCTTTCGGAGGAAGGTAAATATAGCAAAGTAATTCAAAACAGAAGAAAATGGTATGGTTTACTTAAACATGTTCAATAAGAAAATACAAGGCTTACTGTTACTATGAGAATGAATCCACATTTTCTTTAATCTATAAATATTTATATAATGTACAAGATATGCAATTGGTGTTCCATTGTTCTATGCTTACCAAACCAATACGATAACATTGTAAAACGAGCGGAATGTCTTTCATAGGTCTGATTGATTATTTGATTGATTTTTTTAAACGCCAATAACATTATGATCAAAAAGTAAAATAAAAGATGCACAAGTAAAGTATTTGCAACCTTAGGCATTACTGTTTGGCATGAAATAGAGTGATCAGTGGGTGATGAGTGATGGGTGACGGATTGTTAAGTGATCGGTGATCGAAGACCCATAGCTTATTTCTCGTATCTCAAGTCAATTAATTATACTGACGGCTTTTAAAGACGCAACATAAATGTTAGTGATTTATTTAAATCAGAACATGATTAATCTTCATATTATTGTTAGTCATACTTTCCATATGTCTTTCTGTTACGAATACCCGACTTACCAGAGGTTAGAAGGCATATCGGATAATTGGCGTCGCAAGACTTTGTTGACTGGAAATGTGAAACCCATAAGGGATTCTTTTTAAGTGTTTGTCTTCCTGAAACATTTTTTGGGATCCCTATCCTCACTTAAATCAGTCAAGTTGTATTGCGTTTCGATATTGCCGAGACTAAGCAATGGAAATCTGAATGAGTTCGTATAATAATAAAAAGCAGGAATAATTCAACAACCGGATGTAGCTAGAAATTTCCCTTTCAGTCCTAACAACAACGGTTCATACAAACGTGATTTGTAAATGATCATAAATGACACAAACAACCTGTAGTGACAACTCAGAGTCAACAAAATGACATTATACAACGCCATTTGCAAGACAAATTTACAACTGCTACGTCAACTGGTTACCAAATTGTCGCATGTCATGGCAGACAGAGTCATTCCAAAAATGTTTTTCGTATGCTATAATGCTCAGGATTCAACTACAGAAAACCATTTGAAAGTTTAAAATTTAAACCGCATAATTGCTGAAACAAACTGTAATAGCTTTCTAAAAACACTAATTTCGTATATGAAACACTGTTCAAGATTAATGGAGATTTGTGTACTCCTACAAATATCCCAATTTAGCAATTATCAGCAAATGTTATAAACACATTATTGCCCCCAAGCGCTACGTTATTCAACTCATTTAAAACAGATGGATGTTGTGACTAGTTCCATTTATGTTAAACAATTGCAAACATATTACGTGTAGATAAAACTAATTTAACTTTAAGGTTATAACAATTTCTACGTAGATGCTATCAGACATACTGATAATGCATTTGAAATGGAATATGTAACATTTAAGTTAATTTTCACTTTAGATTTGTCGGTCTAAGGAAGATAACAGAATATTTAATAATGTACTACCGTCTTTATACATGTTATATATATGTATGCCTAATAGGTACAAATGATAAAAGTCCGGAAATCTTTAGAATGCGTATCCCTTAAAAGTAGAATTTGGTTTACCTATATTTTGATGTCTAAAATTTATGTCTAATTTAAACACAGTGTAATATTTTGAATATTTATTCAACTAGCAATTATATACAGCATTGGAAACATGTCATATATGTAAATTTGCAGTCTTCCCGTTTATGAATTCATCAATAGAGTTAAAACAAAATTGCCAGATAAAAATCTGCGATGTGGCATTGAAAGGACGGAACGCCAAAAAGGTATTTGTGCAGATAAGCTGGTTGACAGTTCACTTAACAGATAATTCTTAGAATGTCTGTTTATCAAATTACTACCATAGATATAGATAAAATCAAAGAACACCCTTGGATTTGCAAGGTAGATTTTTTCGCCTCTAGTCCTTAGCAGTCGACTTTACTATCTCAATTTTCTTACTTTGTAGATGTATCCATACTAGGAGAGATCTAAGTTTGACTTCTATGTGACTTTCCGTATTCATTAGTCGTCCGCTCACGAAAGTAGTGTAATCAAATTGGTCGGCTAAATATGTGCTACTTACGGTTAAGACCCTCGTTTCAGATGTGCGACACAACATTTGCGGGCCTATGAGGTTAAAACCTAGATAACGACGATTCAACGGTTCAGTCTACTTATAGTCAGATTATATCACAGTCAATTAGGTAATAATAAATTAGTAAACCAATTTTTTTCTGAAACGGTCATTTTGATCTGAAATGCTCTTTAAAGACTGACTAATAACTTATCACGTAATTTTCAGTTTGTTCGTCAATCGTCA